CTTTTGCCTGATAGAGAGCTGATTTTTTTTTAAAAAGGCTAATTCATGCTCCCCAAAAGAAGCTTCTTTTCTTGGGTTGAAAAATTAGTGATCATTCCATGTAGTTAAGAGAATTTTATGGGAAAAATTTTCAACAGAGTAATTGGGCTGGGAGCCCAATGTGTTGCCTAGACTTGAGCCTTACCTTTGACAAATCCCTTAAATGATAATAAGAATGATTACCGTTTATTGAGCATTTACTTTTGGAAAACAATGCTTTAGAGACATATTAATTTTCAGTTTTATAACAAGTGGTAAATGAAGTATTATAGTCTCCATTTCATAAATTAAAAAAAACTCTGACTTGAAAAGTGAAGAAACTTTCTGAGAACATACATACAAGCCCAGAATTTGAACATGGATTTAATTCCAGAGCTTTCTCTTCTGAGCTGCCTCTCACAGTCTCAGGTTCTGCATTTCTGGGTTCATGATATTTCACATCCAGTTGACTTCCCTGGTCCATACCCCTCCGGAGCTTAGCCTTGGCATTTTCAATAGCTCCCTGGCATCTTGGCCTGGCTCTCGAAGACCTCCTGGACCACTTGTCTGAAACTGAACTCATCGATTCTTTCTGGCCTTTTGTTTTTCTTTTACTCTAATCACTAATTCTTAAGCTTTGGCCAAACAGTTAAAAATGTTCTATATACTCACACTGGAAAGAACCTGACCTGCTTCTCCTCTGTGATCCATGTGGTGTGTAATGGGAGCACCCTCGATTCTGTAGTCCAAGTTAAAGGCTCTCTGGTTGCTTGGACTCTCTCCTGTCTCACCTACATGATCATCATTCAGCCTGGCAGAGCAGTGACCCATGCAGGGGACATTCGAGTCTGATTATCTGGGTTTGAACCCTGGCTCTCCTGTTTACCAGCTGTGTAGTGTTGGACAAGTTGCTTTACCCTTCCTTCAGTGCCTTGATCTATTCATCTGTAATTAGGGTCTGAATACTATTTATTTTGTAAGGCAGTCTAGTTCAGACTCTAGGTATTGCTTGACTAAACTATTAAAAAAGCCTTCAGGCTGGTGTTTCTGTAGACAGCCTCTCCCTTTTGTAATTTAGTCTCCTGGATTACAGAATAAAACAAATAATAGACATGATACTTTCCTGCTTAAAAATCTTTAAGACTCTGTCTTACCTTCAAGTCTAACTATTGAGTCTGGCAAAGGCTTTTGCAATCTTGCTCCAACTGGCCTCTCCAGAGTCATTTTCCACCATGACTCCCATAGCAATTTGCACTATAGCAGCAAAAAATTATACATATGATATTCTTTTGTGCCTCCAGACTTTTGACTGTGTTGTGACCTCTACCAGGAATGCCCTTTCTTTCCATTTCCACCTAGTGAAAGTGCATTTGTTTTGCATGGCTCAGTTCAAATGTCATCTATTTTTTAGGGCAGCATAAACCGTGTTAGTCATTTCTAGAGTGTATTTCTGTTTTAGAACCTAACATGTTGTACGGTAATCATATGCACCATAATTTTTTGTCTGCCATTAGGTTGTGAACTCCTGTGGGCAGAGACTATGTCTCTTTCAACTCAATATCTTTTGTTCCAGGGCCTCATGTATAGGGGGAGCCCCCAAATTTAGATTAATACATAAAATAGCATTCTTTGCTCCTAAAATAAATTAAATGTGAATCAAACAACTATAATGCTTTTAAATAGTTGAATTAACTTCTGTTAGCGTAAGATAATAAAGGCAGTGAATTTGTAACAAAATTAAATTAAAATTTCAAGCGCAATTATATTGTTCTTACTGTCTCCAAGCCATCATGTTTTTTTTCCTAGTACACATGTCACACTTTTCCAAAACCATAAGAAAATTTGTGAATGGAAATCCTTTAGAGCACTTTATTTGATATAGAACATCTATATTTGATACAACATTTCATTAGAAAAGGAGCCTGCTTTTTTTCTTATCTGCCCTTACTCTAATCATGATATTTCATGGGAGGTAGTATAAAAGTGATTAAGATCATAGGCTCTGGAGCCAGAATGCCTAGGTTTAAATGCCAGTGCTGCTCCTTACAAGCTGTATAACTGCTTGAAACAGTTTTCCTGGGACCTGTTCTCTCATCTGTAAAATGGGTACCAGAGTAACATCCATGGCAGAGAGTGGTTATGAGGATCAAATGAGTTAATGCTCCTAGCACTTAGGTGAGAGCCTGACTTATAGTAGATGCTCTAAAAATGTGTCCTGGTGTTTGGCTGGTGTTTACCAGAGTGGTGCCTGGAATCCTTGTAGAAAGATGAGGAGTATTTCATCATTAGGGAACTAGAGGGGAGAGAAGGGAGAGAGGGAGGAGCCTTGCGAGCTTGTGAGAGTTGGCCCATTCACCTGCGCAAGGGCTAGTTTATCTCTTTCAGATATCATTCCAACACGTAAACAGTATAATGCCTCTTTTCATTGTTTTATACATGGAACTAAATCTAGGAACAAACCCTGATTTTAACTTACCAATTAAGAAGGTTAGCTCCAGAATTGTCCTGCCTGGGTTTGTGTTCCAGCTCCATGACATGTTGGCTGTGTGCTCCTGGGCAAGTGTTTTCAATTCCATAAGTCTAAGTTTTCTCCTCTGATGAATGATGGAAGAAAGATTAATTTTTGCCTTCTACCTGTTGTGGGAAATTAAATGAAAAAGATCACTCAACATGTTTATCACAGTGGGTATCAAATAGTAAGCGCTTAATATGTGATGACTACTGTTTCATGTTGAAAATATCACTGAAATATATTTACTTTATGATGTGCTTTTTTCTACATACCTACAGAATAGTGTGAAAACATTTATGTAGATTAAAAAAAATAAGGCAGACACTTGTATATTCACCATCCCGGGGTAAAAAATAAAAGGTGGCCAGTTCCTTAGAAGTCTCCTGATTTATAATTGCTGATCCTTTCTATTTCTCTCATAGAGATGAATACATAGTCATGCATTGTTCAACGGTGGGGATATATTCTCAGAGATGCATCCTTAGGCGATTTTGTGGTTGATACTTTATACTGTGCATACCTTATTGTGTACTCCTTTCTAGACTGTAAGTTCTCTGAGAACAGAGGCTTTGTCTTTCTGGTTTACTATCTTTTCCTGAGTCTTTAGAGCTTAGTAGGTGCTTAATAAACACTTGCTGAATGACTAAATTGTTTGGAAAATACAAAATAAAAAAAAAGAGACAAAAATCTAAGAGTAGGAAAAAAAGTTAAATGCCACTTGAGACTACTGGCGATTTGGAGTGTCAGTGCCCTGCTGCTCTTGGTACCTGTGCCACCAAAGGCAGATGAAACCAAGGCCAAGTATTAGGTGCCACATGGGTACCACAGGGCCTATGCCAGGTGGGGGTTTAGGGAAGCTTTCTGGGAAGGTGTTCAATCAGTGCAAAGAGACCAGAGTTGGATTTCTGAACTCCAAAAGGGCAAACAAGAAGAAGGAGATCATAATTGAAGCTTTAGGCTCAGGAGGAAAATATTAATATCATCACTTCCAGCTTTATTTGAACTATCAAATACTGAATTATATTTGCTTCTCAAAATAAGGAACTATTTTGTTTTATCATGTATAAAATAATGATCTCAAATATTTCAAACAATGAGAAAAAAATATTACCAGTTATGGCAAGCACTGGAATTTCTTATTTGGTGACTTTGCAAAGATCTAATGATTCCAACATCATGATTCCAAGCATTATTTTATTAAGCACTGCATTTATAAAGAATCTGGTAGCCAGAATTTATTGTTTGTTTAGATTTTTCCAGTGCCCTCATCACCGAAGTCTCTGGTTGCATGTGTAGAAGATTAAGAGATACAATAAACTAAAAAGAATAGAGCTAGCAACACACACTAGACCAAGGCCAAACTAAATAAATATGTCTATTTCTTAGCCTTGAGTTTAACAAGAACAGAAACAAAAATCTTATATCTAGAAAAGTAAAATTTTTAAAAGAAAGAGACTTCATCTTTAATTTGATCTGAGTTTGCCTAAGTTAAGCAGTTGCTTATCTAAAAGCCAGTATTCATACTTATTTTATATCTTCCAATTATATTTTGAAAATAATAGGAGCCACAAGGAAGCACAACAAGAAATTAAAAGTAAAATTCCCTGAGGTGTGAATTCAGGATAAGGCATGTGTTTCTAATTCAAAACAAATTATTTGAAATCCTGTTTGAATCTGCTGTTAATAAAATTGACAGGAACAAAATACAGCTAAATGCAATTCTTCCTAGTGTCAGTTAAAAGCCAAATTCCCTAGTTTCAATGCCTACTTGTGTGACGTTGGATGACTTGTTCACCTCTTTGTGCCTCACTTTTGTCTGTAAAATGGGGACAATGATATTATCCATATTACAGGGCTGTGAGAATGCCATGATTTAACATGTGTTAAGTTCTGAGAATAATGACTGGCACATAGTAAGTGCTATATAAATAGCTGTAATTGCTATTAAACGATGAAACAAAACACTTGCCTGTTGTTATGTATCATCCCATATTTTTTTCTTGAAGCAAGAGAACACATTTGTCTGTCTTTACAGCTTTAGTCTTTCACACTCATTCCTATCCTGGAAGCCTCCCACCCTCCTTTTGTGCAGGAATGCTTCCCTGGCTCGTTGGCAAGTCTGATCGCTTTGGACGTAAGGCCTTATTAGGTCAGATGCTGCAACATACTGGGGCCGAGAAATGGCTCTTTGGAAATTAGTGTCTGTATTTCCTAACATTCTAGAGCAGCCGTAGCACTCTAGAAGACCTGATCCACTTTAGAAATCTGTAAGAAAATAACAGCAATCTCTTAAAATGCTTCTGTTCTTGAAATTCACCTCTTTGAAAGTTTTTGTCCTGGAGTGCAGGCGACTGAGTACTTCATTTCGTTCTTATTTCAAAATGGAGAATATGAGAAAAATTTTCCAAGTGAGGATCATTGTTGACATGACTGTGCATAAAGAAACTGAATATAATTTTTTCTTTCCCAGGAGATCTGAAGTTAGAAACCAGTTGTCCACGTCACTGGCTCTTCACCTTGCAGTCTCCTCTGTGGTGAAGCCATGCAGGACAGAGGTCTCTGAGCACAGCAGGAGCCTGCACCCTGATGTTCTACCCACCACTGTGGACCCATGACACGAGCCAGTCAGTGTGGTTCTCAAGCCCCCGGTACCGGGCACACTATGTGAGCGGTACAGTCACACGCGTGTCAAAGCACGGACCAAATCTCATTCAACTCTGAGGTCCTTGACTCAGTTTACTTGTTGTATTGGGAAAGCATTGTGACTTTTCCTCCTTAGTATAACATCTTGAAAATCCATCACTCAAACAAAGAAAGATCCTGCCATGACCTTTCTTCTAGATTGATTTGCCTTTAGCTATGGGAATGGAAAGTCTTTCCAAAAGGTTTTCTCTCCTCCCACCCAAGGCCATAGTAACCTTTCTAAATGCCATTTGAATCCTGTTGATTCCTTCCTCAAATCCCTCAATTGCTCTTCCTTGAGTATGGGGTAAGAGGCCCGTCTACTGCACAAGGGGTAACCTGGCCTCTGACCTTTATAAATTCAATGCTTCCCCTCATTTGCTATCTTTTTTATTCCCCATGCCCTGCTTTTGGGTGGATTATTTCTTCTGAGGTTAAGATATTTCTTTGCTTTCTTTGCTAGGCTAAATCCTTTAAACTCAAGTGATTCATCTTCTGGGAAGTCTGTCCTAAACCCCAAGCTGGGCAGGATGGCCCCCTCAGAGCCCACCTGGCACTCATGGCTTCCCATTGCAGCCTTAGCTACACTGTGTTGTACTTGCCTTTTGGTGTTTATGTTTCTCACTGTTCTGGAAGCTTCTGAGGACAGGCCCTGGATCTTTCATTTTGGCAAACTCCTGCACCCAGCCCAGAGTCTGGTATATAGGAACAAGGTCAATACATGTTTACTGAATAAGCAAATGAATGAAGCCTAAATTTGACAAGTTCTCCCATGAGATAATTAGGGACACCACCAACCTAGAGGTAGATTGATAGCTAGTTGAAAACTGTTCCAAAAGAAATCGGAGAAGGCAGGCCTAGATCAGACAACTGATACAAATGATGATTTATAAGAATTAGAAAGGATATGAGCTAAGATGCAGGGGCTACTGAACTCGAGGAGGGTTTTCACCCCCAAATAATTTAATTTCAAAATGGATGAGGTGTACAATTCTGCTTTTAGGGCAAATAAGTTCATCAAATTAATACAAATTGTGGGAGGAGAACTTGTCTGAATGTTACTCACAATGAGCCAAGAGTGTGATTGAAGCTAAAATTTTATTGTTATTAACTGTTTATTGTTATTAATTACTGAGCACCTGGAATCTCTTAGGCATTTTCAATAGACACTTTAACTTAATAACTCAGTGTGAGTTAGCCCTCGCCACATCTCTGAGAAGTGGGTAACGTGCTATTGGCCCTGTGCGAATGGGGACACTGAGGCTCAGGGAGAGTAAACCACCAGCCCAAGGTCACAGAGCTAAAAGGGACAGCATGACTGGGCGACTCCTGAAGTCACGGATTGAAGGGTGGTATTGACAAACTAGAGCACATTCTGGGGAGTGGGGCTGATGCGCATTTCTTTTCTAACAGTGTGACAACAATCACATTCTGGTCTCCTCCTCCTATTTCCAAACCAACTGAGGAATACACAAAAATGTCAGACAAATATAAATCCAAACGTCAGCTTTTTCAGAGGAAGCTGGTTAAATACACACACTAATCCTGTACCCCAACCCCAGCAGTAAATGCAGCTGCCAGAACTGCAGGTTCACCTGGAAGGGGCCAAGCCTGCCTGGCAGGGCCCCCACAGGCAGGGACAAAACCTGGCTCCACAGGCAGCTCCTGAGCAGTGGACGCCGCAGGCCTGTGTGGCTTAGCCCCTAGGATCAGTGACGCCTCCCAGGCAAGCCGCGCCCCTCCTATGGGCAGGAATGGGTCAGAGAGAGGCCAGAGTGTGACTCTAAAGCTCCTCAGGGACACAGAAAGCCCAGGAATGAAGTCCTAGTCCCTAGTGGTGGCCAGGATGCTAACTGACATATCAGTGGCACCAAAAGGTAGAAAGACTGGTGTGATGGTTAAATTTATGTGTCAAATCAACTGAGCTGTGGTACCTGGATGTTTGGCCAAATACCAATTGAGACGTTGCTGTGAAGGTACTTTTTAGATGTGATTGACATTTAAATCAGTAGACTCTGAGTAAAGCAGATTACTCTCCATGATGTGGGTGGCCCTCATCCCATCAGTTGAAGGCATTAAAAGCAAAGACTGAGGTTTCCAGAAGAAAAAGAAGTACTCCTAAAGACTGCAACATCCACTCATACATGAATTCTCATCTGCCCTACAGATTTCGGAGTTGCCCATCTCCCCACTGTGAGCCAATCTTTCTCCGTTTCTAAATATATATATGTATGTACCTATGTATATATACATAGGAGTATCTCCCATTGGTTCTGTTTGTCTGGAGAAGGCTGGCTAATACAACTGGGGATGTTGAATATGCAGCTGAGGAATTAGCGTGGTGATCACGGAAGCCATGTTCACATTTCTGATGGGTTCCCACAGGGCAAGCTATTGGGCTCACTCAATGTGTCCCGTCAGCGTGGACTTTCTTGAGATGCTTTTAGCACTTGAAATGGTTTCACTGGAGCATGACCGTCCTTGTTAGAGAAAAAATGCTCAGGTTGTGAGGAGGCTGACTCGGACAGCTGCCTATTAGGGTCACTTTAAACTCTTTTAAGGGTAGTGACACTATCTTATGCTTCTGTTAAATAATTCCAATGCCATTTTTTCATGTTTTAATGTCTATTAGTTTTAGACATTAAAACTAATGTCTAAAACTTTCATGTCTATTACTTTATTGGCTTTCCAACAGTGTCTAGCACACAATTAGACAATTATAGAATTGAATTGAGAGTGTAATAATGGCTAATTAGGAACCAAATTTTAACTTTAAATGAACATGTACTTCTCTGTTTTCTTCACATTGCTTTGTCTCTATATACATTTCTTTTAAAGTACTCATTTTTATGACCAACATATTATTAATAGTAATGTTCTGTTATTACTTGGTTATTTAATTATAAATTAAAATACATAGCTCACAGGATTTTTGACCAGAACTAAGCAAGAAATTAAAATATAAATGAGAAACTAACCTAATTTGTGAATAACATTTCTCTGAAATCAATTATCTTATTTTCATAGGAAACACAATTAGAAGGAGAAATCTGTCTGCTAAATTCATCTAAAAGAATGCAAGAGTTATTGGGCTATAGGAAAATACTCTCTCTGAACAGGATTTTCCTTTTATTCTTCCCCTTCCAGTGAAGGATTTTACTGCCTCTTACCTGCCTGGAGCTTGAGATTTGAGGCCACATAAATAGCTAATCTGGAAATTTCAAACCAATGTTTTCAAGGGTAGTTACATGCTCTCCCCTTTTCTCCTTGAATTATCCAGTCAACATTCTTGATCTTGCCAGTGTTGGTACAGCCACCAAGTCACGATGCTCGGCCGTGTAACCTTGCACCCTCTGAGGAAGGGGGGAGTCTTTTTTGGAGCCCCGACATCATTCTCCTGTTCAGACCATCTTGCAGGGCAGAAAGTATCACAGGAAGGCAGAGCCTGAGGGTCTTGTACTGAACAAACCTTATTCTTGATATTTTGTGTTAAAGATAATGCTAGCAAACTCTAGCATTAAGATGACAAGTGTCATCTTTTTGGGAGGGTCATTCAGCCCTGTAGCACTGTGAAGGCTGTGCTGATGGAGCCAAGATTCCCTCAGACATAGTTTATGGCAAAGGTTGTCAAAGGATGGTCCCTGGACTGACAGCGTCAGCATTATTTGGGAACCTGTCAGAAATGCAAATTCTTGGGCCCCACCCCAGACCTGCATCAGAATCTCTGGGGCGGCACCCAGCAGCATGTTTAGCAAATCTGCAGGGGATTCTGATGCAAGCTCAAGTTTGAACTACTGGTTTATAGCACATTTCAGCTCCTCACAAACACAAACACAGGCACATTTGGGGTATTTCCTCAGTAAAGTGGGCTCTGGTCACATTGAAACAGTGACTATGTGCCTCTGTGTGTGTGTGTATGTGTGTGTGTGTGTCGGGGGGTGTTGGGGGTAGAAGTGATGATCAGGATTGACTGCAATGACCCAGGAAGCAGGGGTCAGAGGTATTTTCTAAGAACTGGAAAATCTTCACTTGGAATCCCCAAGGATCGTAGAGCCAAGGTGGCCCGGCCTGGGTCTCAATGCATTATGGCCTCAGGGAGTCCAGTCTGAGGGCAAGATGGACAGCCTGCCTCTACTTCCCTGGGACTAGGGGCACAGGCCGGCTCTTGCCCCCTCATCAGGGAGGCCTGGACTGGATCTGGAGGCCTGAGCTCAAGTCCTAGAGCCACCTCTATTGAGCCATGTGATCTTGGGCAAGTCCCCTGCTCCCTGGGCCATGTGTGTTGAGTCGGCCACATAAGAGGCCATCTTGGGGAGGTGGGCAGGGATGGTGCTGACCACAGGCCCCCCATCCACCTTCACCTCCTGTGTGCACAGAGGACTTCAGTATAAGACATCTTCCCACCAGCCAAAACCAAACCAAACCAAAAACAACAGCATCCATGAAGCAAAAGGGAATAATTTGTAGGTCCACTTCCAGCTCTAAAACTCGACAGGCAGGCAGGCCTTGGCTCCCTGTCCTGACTCTGCAGCCTGTGGTGAGAGGTTTTGTACATTGTTTCAAAGGGCCAGAGCCCTCCTCTGAAGATTTGTTTTCGGGTGGTGGGCTTAGCAACTCCATTTTTTTTTTCTTAATCTATTTTCTTGTACAAAGAACAAATGCCCCCAAGTACAATTGCACCCAGATTACTAGACTCTCAACTTAAACATTACCAAAAGCTATAATTTTGAAATTCTTTTATCTGTCTCAAGCTAATAGCAGTTTTGCATGTCTTTATATTGTTTTCATCTGTTTCTTCTCCCCACTCCCCTTTGGTTATTGTCTCTGGAATATGTGCGGGCTTGTTTAATTTTAGTGCCGAATTTGGGATATGGAAAAGATTACTCTTAATTATATTACTTATTTATTGGAACATAATATATTTATATGGACCTTCTGTGCTGCAGAAGCAGCGTGCTCCTTTGTGAAGACAGTGCTGGAGGTTGCCGAGGCGAGGATCTGAGTTAAACAGGGTCTGGATCTGGAGCAATTGAAGAATGAATGTTCTGTCCTTCAGCTTCTTCAGAGCAACTTCTCAGACTGATCTCAAGCTTGAACATTCACCAGGACCCTGCGGGCAACCATTTCAGAACTGTTTTTCTGCAATCCAGTAAACCGGTCAGGCCCCTTCTACACGGTTCACCGCGGCAGAACCTCAGGCTCTAACAGAGATTTCCTCCATCAAAGATGAATGCGTCTCGCATTGGGTTGAGTCGAGGGGGCGTGTTTCCTCTCGTTGGCCTGGTGATTACAACCCTGTCTCTGGAACTGCACCAGGTCCAACCGCAGACCAAATGACTTCTTAAAAAGATATAACAAACACTAGTAAAGAAGAGAAACTAAAACCTTGGTCCAGCTATCACCAAGTAGAAAAACATCCCCTCTCTTTATTTCTCACTTTGTCAATAAAATTATCAAACTCAACTTCCGCCATATATCTCTGTGCCTGCTGTGAAGTCATGAGTCAGAAGCCCCCAGCTTCGGATGTTGTCACGGGGCCCAGAGGCCATATGGTGCTCTGTCATGACAGCAGGACCAGCGACATGATTGGCGGGGCCCAACGCAAAATCAAAGTGTGAGGCCCCATGCCTAAAAATTATTTGGGATTTCAGGACGGTGACAGCAGAGCATTGAAGGGAGTGCTGGGCCCTTCTAAACTTGGGCTGCTGTACAACCGCACAGGTCACAAGTCCGTGAAGCCTGCCCTGGTGCCAGCGGGGACCCAGCTGAGGTGGGGGAAGTGTCCACTCCTTCATGTCCTGTCCTTCAGCCTGAGTCATTTACGTTTATCTCACAAGTCTGCATTCAATTCTCCCAACTCAATTAGCTGCCTCTTTCCTTCCCACATTCGCTCCACATCTGAGACTATCTCTAAGCAACACGTACACGGTGGTGCCAAGTCAGCCACGTCGCCAGCGAGTCCTCCCAGGCGCGATGAAAGCCGTCCAGGGGCGTGGGGGGTGGGAGAGGCAGCCTCCCCCTCCCCGGCTCCGCTCTGCCTGAGGTAACTGCTTGCAGATTCTCGACTACATCTCCAACTATGGAGTTTTCCCTCCCTTTGAGTCTGACAAAATCCTTTGTAATTTTCTTTAAATGTTCCAGGGCTTTTTTTTTCTTTTTCTTTTTCAAATAATTGTTATCAATGCCTACCACACGCCTTAGATCTTTCCCTCCTTGTCTTTACTGTAAATATGTTCCTTACTCTCCAGCAGCAATATTATAGCTATTAATAGTAACACAATCTCTATAGCTATCTGGTTTTCTTTATCCTTGTGCTGTCAAAGAATTCCAAATCTCCCTTTATTGGTGTTTATTTAATTGTTCCAATAAGACAAAAATTTGTTTTTAAAGGAAGCTCCTTACCTATTTATAATCTTTGCTATAAAAGTCTCTCTGCTATCCCCACTCTTAAATGCATTCCTGATTTCTGGTCATACAAAAAAGATTGATTCTGTGATATTCTGAACTGGAACTCGCAGTTGGCCTGGTGATAACTTTGCCAAAGATGGGAACATTTGGAAATTGCTGCAAACTGGAGGACCCTGGAGGAGACAGGCAGGAGGGTCTTTTGTGGAATGTTTTTGCCTATAGTGATCCCCTGTAGGCAATGAAGTTCACAGACATTAGCAAAGGGGTGGCTTACTCAAAAGAATTCATAGAGCAAGTTTGGGACTTCCAAATTACCCTGCCATGGAAAAACTGACAGACGCATTGAAAATGAAAATAAAATGCCAGGGCTGTGAGGACCACGTCTTCATGTTCTGTTCAGGGCTACTCGTTGTTTGGGAGTGACACTTGGAATTTCCACATCTGTAACTGGGACCCACCTCTCTCTGGGCCTTAATTCCTCTTGGTGACAGGCTGAGCATGGTAGTGGCTGCATGGTAGTCTGAAGGTAGAAACACTAGAAAACGTGGGATCAACTTCATTAATACCTTTTTTCTTTGCCTGTTAACTCCTACATGACTTTGGTCATATGACCAGACCCCATGATTTCTACAATTTAAGAATCATAATTGCATCTGTAATCATGGAATATTTTTTCTTTACAGGGAGGTGAGAAATGTGGTGGGAGAAAATACCTGGGAGAGCATTTACAAATGTTTGAAAGAAAGTATTGTTCTTTCACATGTGATTATTGTCCTCTCTAGAGCTTACGGGATCGCCCACTCATTTCTTTGTAATTTAGAAGGACTAAACAGTAGGATTCGCAGCTCAGAATGTTTTCTCAATGTGTAAGCAAATTTATTTTGGATTCATGGCTTCTTATAAAGAAAGTCCCCTGAGGCCTCTGAGGGTGAGGTTTTAGTAACCCTCCCCTACTGTGCTGCAGTCCTGATATAAGAATGTCATGCTAATAACCTGATTTATTTAGTTTTTGTTGAAAGTGGTTCTTTTCTTTCTTGAGATGTTCTAGGGCCTGTGTGCCTGATTAAAAAGTAGACTGATGGAGCTAAGGCTACCCATGTAGGCTGTTTTCTCCCATTTCCAGTACAGACATACGGTCTTTGATTGTACTTTGCGTTACTGTACTTCCAAGATATTGTAATTTTTACAAATCGAAGGATTGTGCAGCCCTCCTTTGAGCCAGTCTATCTCGGTACTGTTTTCCAACAACATGTGCTCACTTCTTGTCCCTGTGTCACATTTTCGTAATTATCAAACTTTTTCATTATTACAGTATTCAAACTTTTTTTATTGTTATTGTATCTGTTATGGTGATCTGTCAGCAGTGATCTTTGCTGTTACTTTTGTAATTG